TAACCCAAGCCATGGTATTTTCAATAACCTCATATGCATGTGAAAGCTGGACAGTGAATAAGGAAGACCATAGAAGAATTGATGCTTTTGAGTTGTGGTGCTGGAGGAGAATATTGAAAGTGCCACAGGTGCCAAAAGAATCAACAGATCTGTGTTGGAAGAAGTGCAGCCAGAGTGCTCCTTGGAGGCCAGGATGGTCAAACTTCGTCTCTCTTACTTTGTACATATTGTTAGGAGGGATCAATCACGGGAGAAGGATATCATGTTTAGTAAGGTGGAGGGTCAGAGAAAAAGAGGAAGGTGACCCCCAGCGAGATGGATTGGCCAAGTGGCAGCATCGATGGACTCAAGCATGGCAATAATAATGAGGTTGGCCCAGGATCGGGCAGTGTTTCGTTCTGTTGTGCATAGGGTCGCTATGAGTCGGTATCGACTCGATGGCACCTGACAAGAGCCACATACTAGAATAAGGAAATGACTGACTAGATACATGAATTGATAAGAGACAAATCTTCCCTACAGAAGGATTCTAAATGTTTGAGGTGTCCCCCTCAACACACACACTGTAGCCTGGACTCAGTGAGTCTGAACAGAGCCCAGGAAGGAGAGACTAGACACTCATCCATGGAGAAGCTTGGCAAAGATGACCTTAGCCAAATGATAAAGGTGACCTTCACAGGGGATGTCAAGCATCCCTGATACGATGTGATAAGGGATGCGATGAGCTTCTAAGGCTATGATCTTTACCGAGGCAGACTGCCACATCTTTCTTCCACAGCACCTTTGGTTAGCAGTCGATCACTTAACCACTATACCACTAGGGCTCCTATGGGTAAACAAATAAACTCACATTTTAGAGGAGCATTCTACTAAGGACTTGATCAGTAAATTGTCACGGCCATCAAAACCAAGGCAAGACAGAGAAGCTGTCACCGATCCAAGGGGACAGGGGACAGGACACCGTGCACTGTGGCCTCCTGGCTGGGCCCTGACATGGCCTGACTGAGTGTTGTGTGGATATGAGGTTCCTCATTTGACAAATGCAGCATGGCAATGAGACAATATGGGAAATGGGGGAAGGGATGCGCCGCATGATTTTCACCAACATTTCTGTAAATCTAAACTTGTTCTAAAACAACAAGAAAGGGTTAACAGAAAGGTTAAGTTCCATGCCCAGCAACACACAGAGTGGATATTCACAATGTAGGAAGTTTTGTGTCAGAATCCAAATGCACCCTTCAATTTCTTAATATTGCTGCTGCTTTCTACTCCTTTGCTTTTCTTTTCTTTTCCTTTTTTTTTTTGTTGTAAAAATATACACACCAAAACATCGCCAGTGCAACCACCTGCAGCTGCTATGGAAACAACTCAGTGGTATGGGTTTTGTTCTTTGGTTTAAGCCCTTGACAAAGGTTCCCTAGTGGCAAAGCAGTTCAGTGCTCGGCAGCTAGCTGAACGTCGATGGTTTGAGCCCACCAGCTCCTCCTCAGGAGAAAGACGTGACTGTCTGCTTCACATGGAAGCCCTGTGAGGCAGTTTTCCTCTGTCCTGTTTTGTTTCAGCCCTCAGCATGTGCCATGTTGTGTCATTCTCACAATAACCCTCCAAAGCCGACACTATCATTTCACAGACAAGGAAATGAAGAGTCAGCAGGAAGTGACCTGGCCAAGGAGGCAGAGCCTACAAGTGGCCAAGGTAGGGATGGAACTCGGTCTGTCTGATTCCAAGGCCAGCTCCCTAGCAGGATCCCAGAAGGAGAGAAGGGAGTTGAGAGCGTGCATAGCTTTGTAACTTTGTTCATAGCATTTGATTCTCTTGACTGCTGTTTTCCTCCCCTGGAAATGGGATAATCTCAGGACTGTAGGGACTGCATGGGATCATGGTTCCTGACAAGCCCTCAGCCCCTGGCACACAGAAAACACCCAGAACTTTCCGGGATCCAGCATGGTGGCCCATATCTCAGAAGCCAAAGTGGGAGAGAATGGAGTTGGAAAGGAGGCCAGAACCATGGGGGTGTCTTTAGAGGCTGACCAGGTGACCGTGAGGGACAGCATGGAATGAGGCTGACTGCTCAGGGGACTGGGTGGCACCTTCCACTCACACTCACCACCGGCTGAGAAACTAGGTTTGTGAGCATGTGGGAGTTGGGGGAAGACAATACCTCAATCTCTCATGAGGTGGGTGAGTGTTGTGGGCGGGCCTGGCCCCGATGGTAGGCCAGGCCTCCTGACGGTTCTCTCACTAGTTGTGTGACCCCAGAGAAATCTCTTGCCCTTTCTGGGTCTCAGTTCCATCTTCAGTAAAATGGGTAAAGGAGTAGGAGGATGCCAGCAACTCTTGGAAGCTGCACCCACCCAAGTGGGGGCAGGGAGGAGGGGAAGGGGGCATAGGTATGGCTCATACTTCCGGAACCTGCACCACCTGGTGCTGGGGGTCTCACAGTCCTCGATGTTCTCCACCTCCCTACCTCCCTGCTTCTGCCAGTTGGCCTGCAGCCTTCTGAGGGGAACCAGGGAGGTGGGGACAGAGCTGCGCTCTTAGGCCAGGGATTTGATTTTTAAAAAATGTTTTGGTTAAATTAAATATATATGTGTGTGTGTGTGTGTGTGTGTGTGTGATTTTCGAAACACAGCTGGTGAGCTTGCAGTCCAGCGCATTAACCTGCAGGAAAGTTTACACAGAAAATTAAGTTTTCGTCTGACCATGTCTACATAAATTGCTGTGTGACATTAATTCCATTTCCCCAGTGCATCAGCATTCTCTTTCCTTGTGCTCTGGTTGTTCCGTTGTAAGAGCTCTAGTTTCCCTGGGTTTGCTTTGTTAGGAACTCAGGAGCCAAAGGAGGCCGGTTAGTTGCAAGAAGACCCAGGTTTCCTGCGTGCACACTGCCCTCATTCTGCCATCCTCTGGACACTCGAAGTGGTTTGGAAAAATCATATTTACAGCAAACACTTCCATTGCCCGGTTCTGAGTGCTGATGGAAGCCAGCTTCCTTAGTTCACAATAATTCTACGAGGTAAGCAGGTTGGTTGTCCCTGTTTTAGAGATGAGAACACTGAGGCCAGTTGATGCTGGGATGCCTCTCCCAGGGACCCTGCATCAGGCTGCTGAGGGAGGGGCTGACAACTCAGTGTCCCCTCCTCCCGAGATGGCCCTGATCTGAGGAAAACCCGATTGCCTCCAGCGGGGAGCCCACAGTCAATGACAGGCTGAAGTGGGGGTACAAAAAGCCAACCCTGGAGTCCCTGGGTGATGTAAAGTGTTAATGTGCTCAACTGCTAACTGGATGGTTAGAGGTTCGAATCCATCCAGAGGCACCTCTGAAGAAAGGTCTGGCAATCTGCCTTTTAGAAAGATCAGCTGTTGAACACCCTACGTAGCACAGTTCTGCTCTGACTCACTTGAGGTCTCCACGAGTCAGCGTAAGCGTAAGCTCACCCGGCAACTGCTTTTTGCTAGTTCAAGGGAGGATGCGGCTGAAGTTAGAATGCCTTGCTTTTCCCTCTATTCCTGCTTTCCTTCATTTTTTTTGCCTAAAGAGATTCCTTTAGTGCATCCTCAGTCCTTCAATGCATCCCAGCCTCAGGTTCGGCTGCCAGGAAACTTAGCCCAAGACACTAAGACACAGACAGCTGCTAAGTGACTGAGCCAGGATTTGAATCTTGACTTGTCTGGGCTTTAGCCATTACACTGCCAGGGGCTAGCTGGGTGCTCACCTGTGGTTGCAGGGCTCGGCCCCGAACAGGCAGGCCAGGATCAGCCGCTCAGCGGGGTAACCCAACTTCTTCAGCTCCTTTCTGGGCACCTGGGAGAAGATGTTGGTGGCCTGCAGGACGTACCATTCTGTCACGGCCTGGGTGGCGCTTGTGAAGTTCTGGAAGGTGCACACTGTTCCATTGAGGCTGCACTGTGGAGGTCGAGAGGGGTTCCTATAGGTACGGAGACTGGCAGAGCCCCCACCTCTGCCTGTCCCCATCACTGCTCAAGGTCCTGTCTGAGTCTTAGTGCTGGGGCTGTGACGTGCTCAGCCGGTGGGAGATGTGTTCCACCTCACACCCACACATTCACACTGCCACCCCAGATCTGCCACTATGCTGTATAGGACCGTGTGAGCATTTGCTATAAATATGACCTAACACATGCACGCCCGCACACGCATGTTCACATGAGCACACAGACAGTCGCTCACTTTCTGACACCCATAGCCACATGATGTCACTGTCACAAATAGCATACACAAATCCACCCAAAAACCCACTGCTGTCAGTCAAATCTGACTTAGAACAACCCTACAGGACAGGGCGGTATTGCCCCATGGGGTTTCCAAGGCTGTAAATCTTTACGGAAGCAGACTGCCTCAGTTTTCTTCTGCAGAGTGGTTGGTGGGTTCGAACTGGTGTCGAGCACTTTTAACCACTGCTCCACCAAGGCTAGTTATACATATAGCCACTCCCTTCTCCCTATATACCCAGATTCGCACAAATGGCCACAGACATGGGCCCTGATTCCTTCCTTGCTCAGGACAGATGCAGGCCCAGCCCCTCCCAGGACATCCAGCAACAGCGCCCCCTGGAGGCGATGTGAATCAGGACTCCGGACTGAAGGGATTCTCCCTTCTTTGCTCTGGGAAGGTCAACCGGCCAACCACAAGCACAGTACAGACTTGGTGCTGGGCTCCACTGGGTTTCAATGACTGATTTTATCTCAGGTGGTGTAAATGGTTAACACACTTGGCTGCTGTTTGAAAGGCTGGAGGTTGGAGCTCACTTGGAAGCACATTGGCAGAAAGACGTGGAGCTCTACTTCTGAAAAATTCACGCTTCCTTGAGAGCCTGTGTAGCAGTCGTACTCTGACAGTCATGGGGTTGTAATGAGATGGAATCCACTCAATAGGAGCTGGTCTGGGATTGGGAGGTACTGAGTCAGTCAGAGGGTTCTACAATGCCAGAAAGACAAAGTTGTAGTGGCAGCATCTGAGCTTCCTAATCCAGCCACACCTGAGCTCCGTAGCTCCCTGAACTTTTCATTCATGTGAGCCAATGAACACTCCTGTTTTGCTGAAGTTCTTCTGAGCTGTGTCATTTGCATCCAAGAGTCCTGACTAACATACCAGCTATTTCTATTTTTAAAAATTTCTTCAAACAAATAAGCAGACAGACACTGGCTCCCAGCCTGCCTTTTCCCCAGCAAGACCCAAGTTATTCAAGAGAAGAAACTCCCATTAGCCCATTGCTTGTGGGTGGAGGGTGGGGATTCCCTGGAGCCACTTACTAGTCTCATAGCCACTTTGCACCCCTGGGCATTGCAGACCCTTCCTCTTGCTGAGCCATTGTAGTTATCTCCCAAAAGGTCAAGGACCACTGGGTGGTGAGGGTCCCGTTCGTCAATGAGGACCAGGGGTGTGTAGTTCCAGACCGTGAAGTTCAGGGCCATGGTGGCATTGGCATTGGCGTGGCCTGGTTCAGGGGCCAGTATCCTCTCTAGGACTGCTTCCATCAGATTGTCCAGGTCCTTCAGCAAACATTTCACTTTGGTATATCTAGATGGGAAGAGGGCCAGGCAGAGGGATGAGGGGCATCCTGGCCATGTGGGAGGGCAGGACAGCTGGAATCGGATGCTGTCCACTCCCAGCATGGCTGCCTGAGCAACACTTCCCCACCCATTCACTCATTCATTTACACACTCAACTATTCAATGGTTTGAACCATAAGGTCATTGGTTCAAGCTTACCAACCACTGCTTGGAAACCCTATACAGAGTGGCTATGAGTTGGAACTGACTTGATGGCACTTAACAACAACAACAACTATGTGGTGGTGTGGTGCTGTAAGGTAAGCACTGCACTAGACTGCTGACCACATGGTTGGAAGTTCAAACCCACCAGCCTCTTCTTGGAAACCCTATACAGGGTCACTATGAGTCAGAACCGACTCGACGGCACTTAACAACAGCAACAATACTATATATTAGTCCTGGTGTAACGCTGTAAGATAAACAATGGACTTATAACCACAAGGTTAGCAGTTCAAACCCACTCCTGGAAACCCTATAGAGGGTTGCTATGAGTCACAACTGACTCGATGGCACTTGAAAACAGCAACAACACTACATGTTAGGCAATGTGCAAGGAGTAGAGGGTACAACCTTGGGTTGTTCCTTATGAAATTCACATCCTGGTGGGGAGGAATCATAACAGCTGTTCGATGTGCTAGGGGTTAGGGGCTTTCTATTTAAATGACTTCCTCTTTACCACAATTCTATTATCATCCCCCCCACAGGGAAAGAAGATGGACACGCCAAGACTTGTGATTCTCCAAGGTTGTCCTACTGAAGAGCTGAGATTGGAACTTGGGTTTGGTGGGCTACAGGGGGCATCCTGTTGCATGCAGGGGTGCTGATATCTCCCTTTCAGGAGGACAGAGAATATTGGGAGGAGAGATTGGCATGTGGGTCCTAGACCTGAAGTGGCAATTTGGGGACTAGGAAGGAGAGACCGATGAAGATCTGGGCTGGGGTTTGCTGTCTTCTCTCAGCTCCTGGGAATCCACTGTCGGAAATGGCAGCAAGTGGTCTGGCAGAAATGTGTCCATCCCAGAGACTGTCCTTGCCAGGCCTCGTGACTGGGGTGCCCAAATCCTGCCTCCTAGTCACCTCAGACCTAATTTACCGAGACCCTACTTCAGTGTGTGGTCTCCAGGGCAGTGTGGACCAGCTCCAGCGGGAAGACTTCCTTCAGGGACCATTAAGCCCTGGACATGGGCCAACGTCCTGGTACAAGGTGTAGAGCAGTCGCAGGTTCTGACATGGCCAGCCTTTGGCCCTTCAGGAAGCCACTGGTGCACACAGGAGAGAAGGCGCAGTGTGACCCAGCCTGGTGCCCACACTAACTGTCAAGCATGCCACCTACTGTCTGATAGTGTTGGGAACATTAACCCCTCAGAGGCTCTTTCTCTCATGAACAGAATGGGAGGGGATGTAAACATATTTACCTCAGAGGACAGTTGGGAGGACCCAGTGAGGTGGTGCTTATAAAGCCCTTGGAACGGTGCCTGGCACAGAATGTTCTTGTTGTCACTATTATTAACAGTTCTCTCATGTGGCTCCAAGGGCCACCCAAGGAGGGGCAGGAGCTCTGTTACTAGAAGGGAGCACTTTCTAATAACTGGCAATGTGGCCAGAAGCTGTGAGTTCCCTCCCAGGACCCCCTTTGGACAAGAATGTTCTGTGGTTGAGTCACACTGGTCCTCTTGCCAATCCCTCCACTGTCTCAGCTGAGCGCTTCTGCACAGGTCTGTCCTCCCTCCACTTGGGGCTCTGGCTAATCCTACACATTCCACAGGGCACTTTTTCTCTTGCTAACTGCCTGCCTCTCCCTAGTCCTAACAGAGTTGGGTCCCCTTGTCTGTGTCCTTCATCGGTCTTGTCATGGAGTGCGGAAGGGGTAACAAGGTACAATGGTTCAAAATTTCCCACACTAGAGTGACATGGAGCCTAGACTCAGCTGCCCACTATGTCCCTGAGTAAATTAACTCCACTTTCTCATCTGTAAAGTGGGACTGCCACAGTGTTACCCACCCCTCGATGGTTGTGTGGATTAGAATGATAGAAAGAAGCAAAAGAAAGACAAAACCACAACCACAAAAGCTCCCACTCTGCACATTGCCCAGTGTATCACGAGTAGTCGCTGGATTGTTGTTGTTGTTGTTAAATGCTGTCCAGTCAGTTTCGACTCACACTAATCCTGTCTGTATGAGGTTTCCAAGGAATGGCTGGTGGGTTTGAACTGCCGACCTGGCGGTTAGCAGTACGGTGCTGATCCTACACCAAGACACATTGCATAGTCAGTGTTTTTTTTTAAATCATCACAATTAATTCAATATTTGCGAGAAAAAAATCATTTTTTTCTCTGCTAGGTTCTGAAGAAGGCAGAGACTTTGTTTTGTTTACTGCTGTATTCCTGGTGTCTAGAACAATGCACAGCACAGTTGTTGTTAAGTGCCTTCAAGTCAGTTCTGACTCATAGTGAGCCTGTAGAGGGGTTCGAAGGTAGTAAATCTTTATGGGAGCAGAAAGTCTCATCTTTCTCCTGCTGAGTGGCTGGTGGGCTGGACCCACAGATCTTGTAGATCTCAGTCCAGTGCTTATCCTACACAGTCACTGGATATAGTAGATGTTCAGTAAATACATATTGAATACAACTATGAGGGGCTTCAAAAGTTCATGGAAAAATGAAATTGAAAGACAATGGAATTTTTCCACAAACTTTTTGAAGCAGGTATCGACATACCTGAAGACAATGAAACAATACAAAAAAAACCCCAAACTGATTGCCATCAAGTCAATTTTGACTCCCAGCAACCCTAGAGGACAGGGTAGAACCATTTCCTAGGATCTGAGGCTGTAAATCTTTACGGAAGCAGACTGTCACATCCTTCTCCTGCTGAGCGGCTGCTGGGTTTGAACTGTTGACTTTATTTACAGTTAGCAACTGAGTGCTTAATAACAGCCTGAAGGCAGGAACTTGATACTGTTCAAGGTTCTCTAAATCTAGGAAGTTTGTGAATTTTGAAACTACTTGCAAACATGAAAGCCAGCAGGAAGAAATAAAGACGGAATAATGAGGAAGGAAGAGGGAGAGAAAGGAAAAGAAGAAGAAGGAAGGCAAAGAAAGCTGAAAGGAAGGAAAATCGCTGGAAGAAAATGAAAAAAGAGCCCTCTCCACTAAGGGGAAACTGGCAGCGGATCTGCAGGAGAAAGATGAGACTTTCTGCTCCTGCCAAGAATTACAGCCTCAGAAAGTCTACACTGAGCTGCTATGAGCCGGAATTGACTCCACGGCACACCGCTGCTGCCACCACCACCACCACTGCTAACGTGTGCACTCCAGGGGTCACCTACTGGAAGGGGCTGGCGTTGCAGATGGTGACAGCGGGAAAGTCCATGTTCTTGAAGCCAATGGAGAGGGAGACGCTGACCTTCCAGCTCAGGTAGGTGTTGATGAAGATGCCCCACTGCCAGCAGACAAGGGAGGTGAAGAGCAGAGTGAGTACAAACCACATGGCCTTCTTCTTGGGCCCCTCGCAGATGATGCGTTTGGGGCCATGGGTATTGGTGTTGTTACAGTACCACAGTAGCAGCTCCTTGTACGTGTAGCCGGGACCTTTCTGTAGCCGGTGCAGGCACTTCAGCAGGTACTTTTTGACATGCATGGTGAACCTGTGCAGAGACACAAGTAAGTCATGCCATACGTGATGCCAGTCTTGAGTCTGAGGTGGCAGAGCATGGGCACTGGAGACAGATCGACTGCTCATCCCACACTTGCCTGCCACCTGTCCACCCATCCACTCTCTCTCTCTCTTGCCCTCCCTCCATTCTTCCTTCCACTCATCCATCTTCTCTCCTTTCCTCCACTCCCCCATCCTTCCTGCCTTTCATCCATCCATCTATCTATCCATTCACCCATCCATCCACCCATCTATCATCCATCCATCCATCCTTCCATCCATCCATCCACCCACCCACCCACCCATCATTTATATGCCAGGCATGGAAGGAGTGCTTCTGGACTCATTGATGAGCAGACACACACAAGGTTTCTTCCCTTTGGAATCTCCAGCCTAGTAGGCAGGTTACTTAGACTCTCAGCTCCTCAGGTTCCCATATGTAAATTGGGGATAATAATTGCATCTAACGTGGGATTGTTGAGATGGTGCACAAACACCCTGATTATGCTGGTGTGGCACTGTAGGATCTACACAGGACTGATAACCAACATGTCGGCAGTTCAAAACCACCAGCTGCTCCTTAGAAACCCTATACAGGGTCACTATGAATCAGAACAGACTCAACAGCACTTAACCACCACCACAACAATCATAGACTAAGCGAACAATATCTGACTTACTACTATTATTAGTGGTTAGCAGGCAAGACGATGTTAATAAAATGATCTATCAAAAAATGTAAAATCAGGCAATGTGATAGGAAGGGTTGGGATTTAGGGTCCTCAGATATTAGAGGCAGTAAAGGTAGAGGTTAAGAATGAGGACTCTGAGTTGAACAGTCTGGCTTTGAACCTCAGCTCTGCTAGGTCCATGTGTGTGACAATGAACAAGTCACTTTACCCCCTGTGCTAAGTTTCTTCATCTGCACAATGGGAATACTAACAGCCTCCACTTCATAGAGCTGTCCAGGGGTGTCCTAGAGTTGGTACCACCTGCTGTCACCCCATGTACTTTCTCAAGTACCAGACCATACAGAATCCTTAGTTTATGATCAACTTCAGCCATTGGATAATATGTGAGAAATATAATCATAAATTGCTTAAATGTAATATTTCTTAAGATTATATGACTACTAGCAACAAAATTGTTTTATAACATGTTTCTACACTAAATTACAACCTTATTAGTTACAACATTATTAGTAACTGAGTGGAATGTCTTTTAAAATATTTTTCTCCTTTTCTTTTAATCACTACTTCATTCTCAAAAAAAGTTATTGATATAGATTTACAGATACTACTTACCACAATATTATAGCTAAAACACCAGAAAATTTGACAAAATCAGCAACTATGGAAAAGCCGCAGCAAGTCTTTTGGGTCTATGCCTGGAAGAGAAAATTAAAATGCAGCCTTAGCCTGTGCAGAAGAAACTATGTGATTGGAAGCGGTCGTGGTAATCGGGATGACGGGCAGCTCTGATGGAGCATGTGCAGAAGAAACTATGTGATTGGAAGCGGTCATGGTCGTGGGATGATAACAGACTGCTCTGACAGAGAGCATTAGAAGGTTCAAAAAGTAAATTAGCATAGAAATTAAGCCTTATAGATATACTGATACATGCAAACGGAGCTTACGATAAATGTTTGTTGTTGTAACTACTGGGATATGTTAAAAAACAACAACAACAATAAATTTCTTTATATGACCCAAATACATGCATTGGTGACAAAAAAAACAAAGCCCTTCAACAGCAAAACATACTTGATTAGCTAAAAGCTGCCCTTCACTAATTCTACTCTGAATGTGACCCTTATGGTAGGTTGGTAAAGAATTTAAATGCGTGGATTACTGCTTTGGTGCTGGAGGGTAAGCACTGGACTACAGGCTGGTTTGAACCACAAGGTCAGCAGTGCAAACTCAGCAGCCCCTCCTCGGAAACCCTATACAGGGGTGCTGTGGGAATTGACTCCATGGCACTTAACAACAACTGCTCACCAGAAGGAAAGCTCTGGATTTAAACATTAAAAAATATATAAATACATGTCTACTGAAATACTGCGCAAAAATTTAGTAGACGGTCATTTTGGTGCCATCTTCTCTGACAGTGTCCACTGGGGCAGTCTGCACCCCGGCACCCCACAGTGATGCCTTCATTGTTGTGCAGACTGAATGAGGAACATACGTAGAGGGTAGGTTAATGCTTGGCACCTAGTATTACTATTAAAAAGGGAAACCTGATGGGGTTTGAAAAACTTAGAGAAGTGAGGGGGAAAGCGTTAACAGAACAAGAAAAGTCAGCTTAGTAAAGGGGAGTCATGGAGGGGAAGGACAGGCCGGTGAGCGGGGCTAGAGGGCAGGGTGGAAGGGACCGCTCCAGCAAAGCCTCTGAGGTAGGAGGGCACCTGGAGAGGTGAGCAGAGCCAGGCCATGGTAAGGAGCTACTCCACTGTACATATGAGCATCAAATACATTTTGTTTATCCATTCATCTGTTGATTACCTTCCAGCTCAGGTAGGTCTTCAGGTGGTTTCCACTCTTTGATTATTGTGAATAGTCTTGGTACATGCACATTGGGTCCATGTATCTGTTTGTGTTCCTGCTTTCAATTCTTTTGGCTATAAGCCTAGGAGTGAAATTGCTGGATCATAAAGTAATTCAGTGTTGAACTCTTTGAGGAACCCCCTAACTGTTTTCTATCTGGCCATACCATTTTACAGAACCATTAGCAGCAATGGATAATGGGTCACATTTCTCTACATCCTGCCCAATATCTGTTGTTGTTTGCTGTTTTTATCATAGCCGCCACTCATCTGTCAGTTGTACTATTGTGACTTGTGTGTTGCCGTGATGCTGGAAGCTATGGCATTTGTGCTTTAAATACCAGCAGGGTCACCCATGATGGACAGAATTCCAGAAAATGAGAGACTAAGAAGAAGCAGAGGGAGATGGTTAGCCACTGACAACCTTATGAAAAGCAGTGCAATATTGTCTGATATAGAATCTGCAGATGAGCCCCTCAGGTTGAAAGGCATTCAAAATACACCTGTGGAAGAGTTGCCTCTTCAAAGTAGCATTGACCTTCATAATGTGGATGGAGCAGAGCTTTTAGGACCTTCAGGACCTGATAGGGCACAACTCAAACTAAGAAGAAACAGCTGCAAACATCCATTAATAATCACAACGTGGAATGTTCGATGTATGAATCTAGGAAAATTAGAAGTCATCCAGAATGAAATGGAACACATAAAGATTGCTAGCCTAGGCATGAATGAGCTGAAATGTATTGAAATGGACTGATATTGGCTATTTTGAATAGGACAATTATATAGTCTATTATGTTGGAAACGAAAAAAGAGGAATGGCATCGCATTCATTGTTGAAAAGAGCATTTCATGATCTATCCTGAAGTACAGTGCTATCAGTGATAGGATATTATCCATATGCTTACATGGAAGACAAGTTAATACAACTATTATTCAAATGTACACACCAACTACTAATGCCAGATGAAGAAATTGAAGATTTTTAGCAACATCAGCAGCCTGAAATTGATCAAGCATGCAATCAAGATGCACTGACAACAACTAGATGACCGGAATGCAAGAGCTGGAGACAAAGAAGACTTGGTAGTTGGAAAATATGGCTGTGGTGATAGAAATGACGCTGGAGATCACATGACAGAATTATACACGGTCACTGAAAATACTTTTCTTCAACAACACAAATGGTAACTATACACGGGGACCTCACTGGATAGAACGTACAAGAATCGAATCGACTACATGTATGGAAGGAGATGATGGAGAAGGTCAGTATCATCAGAAGAAGGCCAACTGTGGAACACATCATCAATTTTTCATATGCAAGTTCAAGTTGAAGTTGAGGAAAATTAAAACAAGTCCATGAGAGCCAGAATATGACTTTTAGTATATCCCACCTGAATTTAGAGACCATCTCAAGGAGAGACTTGACACATTGATCACTAACAATCACAGATCAAGTGAGGTGACATCAAGGACATTATACATGAAGAATGCAAAAAGTCATTAAAAAGACAAGAAAAAAAATAAGACCAAAATGGATGCCAGGCGACTCTGAAACTTGTTCTTGAACACGGAATTGCTAAGAAATGAGGTAAAAGAGCTGAATAGAAGATTTCAAACAGTGACTCGAGAAGACAAAGTGACGTATTCGAATGACATGTACAAATTGCAATACTAAAAGATTCTACGGTCAGAATATTGAAACACACAGGGATCATTAAAAAAAAGATCGAAGAAGAAGAAGAAAAATCATGTAAGTAATGCACAGAGTTACTGTATCAAAAAGAACTGACTGATGTTTATATATTTCAGGAGGCAACATATGATCAAGAAATCATGGAATTGAAGGAAGACGTTCAAGCTGTATTAAAGGCACTGGTGAAAACATAGAGTCAGGAATGAACAGAATACAAATTAAGATGTTTCAACGAATGGATACAGCACTGGAAGCTCTTACTCATCTAGGCCAAGAAATTTGGAAGACAGCTACCTGGCCAACCAACTGGAAGAGATGCATAATTGTGTCCATTCCAAAGACAGGTGACCCAATGGGTGGGGAAATCATCAAACAATATCATTAGTATCACACACAAGTGAAATTTTCCTGAAGATAACTGAAAATGGTTGCAGCAGTCCATGGAGAGGAAGCTGACAGAAATTCAAGCAGGAAGAGAACATGAAACAAGGTATATCATTGCTGATGTCAGATGGATCTTGACTGAAAGCAGAGAATACTAGAAAGATGTTTACCTTTATTGACTGTGCAAAGGCATTCAACTGTGTGGAGTATAACAAACTATGAATAACATTTCAAAGAATGGGAATTCCAGAACACTTAAATGTGTTCACATGGTACATATACGTTGATCAAAGGGCAGTCATTCGAGCAGAACAAGGGGATACTGAAGGGTTTAAAATCAGGAAAAGTGTGCATCAGGGT